CCCCCCCCCCCCGCCCCACACACACACCAAACAATCACAAACTCCTGGAGGAACAGCTATTAATATTTTAACAGTTTAATGGCTCTTATCAACAGATTCTGGCACAACCAGGCCTATAAGGAATTCAGATTTTTGATATGGCTCAAAGTGAAAATGAGTTTGACAGCCTGGCACTAGATGGAAGCAAACTGCTTCCAAATCCCAAGAAAAAAATAAACAAAAATTATAGCAAAATCTAGACTTATTTCATGTGACTGAGGTCAAACTGTTGTGTTCACAGCCAAACAGACTTTAAAAAGAAACTGGAAGAAGAGTTAAAAGGAAATAATAATATAAAAATAAATCTAAGAAAGAAGTGGCAACAATTTATCCAGAAGTTAAGTTGTGAACCTGATCACACTTTCTGAATGATTGCTCCTTATACAGCAAAAATAAGCTTACTGGAGCATCATGTGTGACAGGGCCAACACAAATAGTGCATAATAGTGATGTGGAAGAAAAGCAAAACTTAATTTTCAATATTTTTTATAAGAAATAGGAATGTTCAGAGCATATTTTTTAATCTTTTACACCTAAATTAAATCCAGTGTGACCAACTGAGAGGTTTGGTCATGGATGATCACAAAGGGTTAAGTTTTGAATAAGTAATGTTGAGGATATAACAAAACATAGAAGAAGATAGTTTTTCAACAAGAGACCAGAATTGCATGTGAATATTTCATGAACACATCATGTCTAAGGTGAAACACAGCAGTGGTAGTATCATGGTAAGGGGTGTCGAGAAAAGTCGAGCTCAGCCCACTTCCCCATGCTGGAGATTTTAGTTTAATAATAACAATAANCTATAAGCTCCTCCCTGACAGAACATCAGTGAATTTAAGGCGAAGATATCTGCAGCATAGCACCTGACTCCCTGAATAAGGGGCTCTTCTGTACACATTTAATGAAAATATTCCCAGTCCTTCCTATAGATCGAGACAATTATGCAAATAATATGAAATCACTTCTCTTGGAGGGTGTTTGTTTTGTTTTATGTTTTAGCAGAAGATGATCATTTTTAATGATATTCACCAGCCCACACTGTCTACATTGCTTTTCTGAACCGTAATCATGTTCTGCATCAGCACCAAGATCACATGACCTAACAAATACCATATGACCAAATCCCTCTGGAAATACAAACACCATAAATAGTGTTATTAATATCAGCCCAGATTTATTATCAGACCAATATGTTAAATGACAAACGTTGGCTGATATTAATGTTTATGTATGACACATCACTACGTTTTTCCTCAGCGTCAAATGACTACATTTTTTTCATGATATTGTGTAACATTCTATTATTTCTCAACAATAAACAACTCCACATGTTTTCATTAAATGATTTAATTTTTTTTCCCAAAATATTGGATGTCAATATTTTAGTGATATTTGTAGCCAATAATGAACATTTTAATAAATAAAAAAATCCCATATGTGTGCCTCAATATTGATTGTTTTCATTATTTTCTTAGCAATGTTCAGTGATTCCATATTTTTACTCAACATTAAATTATTCCATAAATATTTCTAAGTTAGTTATTGTTGTCATTTTTATCAAATAGCCTGACATTAAACTTATCTATCTTAAATGATCAGTATTCATCCATGTTTGACTTTTAATTTCAATAAAATGTATTTTTCCACATGTTGAGGTGCAGGTAGTAAACATTTTACGCATCAAAGTATAAAAGGCTTTTATTGTAATGAAAAATAACACACGTCATATTTTAATGAAATAGCTGCATTAAAACTCATCAGTTCTGTACATTATTGCCACTCTTTCTGTGTCTGCATCTCACAAGAAAGACAAATATAAATACACATAAAAATATACATAAAATCTTTTATTTAACACAACCATATATCACGCCTTTTAATCTAATATTTTCATGTCATTGCTGTTCTCATGGACATCTTCAGATGAGTAATTCGGTTGCAGCACATAATTTTCAGTAGTTAGTGTGTTACTGGTCGAGCTAATAGAATAGAGCACAGACAGTAAACAGCTGCATGTAGCCACTGTTAGAGCGATGAAACGATGAAAATTTGGTGAAATTGAACACTTAATTCAGCACGACAGCTACATAGGTCAGTGCCGTCACAGTCTCCGGTTCAGCAGGTTTGGGCTGTTCTTCATGCGTGAGGCTGACTCTCTCCCGATTCCGGCAGCTGGCAGCGGCCCCTGGTTTATCGCCGGGTTGTTGGCGCTTTTCTGGGAGCCGAAACCCTTTGGTTTGGGGATCCGGGTCGGTCCTGGACGTCGGAATGCTTCGAGAGGTATCTGACGGAGAAACAGAGAGAATTTAGTGTGGTACTTTTTGAACAAATAAGGTGGCATACTCTAAAATGACAGGCTAAATTCTAAGCTATTTGAAGACCCATTCAAAAAGTTAGAATATTACTGAAAAGTCCATTTATGTCAGAAACTATCACTAAGTGAAACACATTATATCTGCACAACATTACGGACTCGTTCATTCGTGGCTGTTTTCACGTTTATTGCGCTGTTCATATCAGTCTCGATGTTTGCAGTTTTCTGGAGCACAACGCGAACCTCGACGTCATTCAGAGGTAATATATTAACTTCACATTAACAAAGACACAGCGGGACGGATAATCTGGGAAATGATGGACGGGGAGAGTCTGACTAAAATTAACTGGATGTCAGACAAATTCTGGGGTTTACGTCTGCTTATTTGCTAGCCCAAAAAGCGCAACTGCGACTCATTAAATCAGCAAGCGTCTTTACAAAAAAAAAAAAAAAAAAAGCCCAAAGGTGCTTATAATAATCGGACTTGGCGAGCGAAATTCAAAATAGATCCTGTCTTTCCAGCAACAAAATGCGCATCTCTCTCCTCCCTCCATTGTTTATGTTTCTGTCGCTGCTGATATTGTCGCATAGACACGGCGATCAATTCCCAAGACGTGTAGAGAATATAAAATTAAACTACAAAAGAAAACGCACAGTAATGCAAAGTGATTTCGATAAGTATCTGCAGTCTGACTACTGGATTCGAAATAACAATGCGTTAGATTACTCGAAAAAAGTGGTCCGACGTCACTGGTCACTACACAAAGTTTGATGTTTGAAAACCTTTATTTCTGTTAATTACGATAATTTTCCACTTACAGCTAACTAAAACAATTTCAATTTAAAACATTGGAACATTTTTAATACAGAAATGTAGCTTTAATAAAAAGTATGTTTAATGCCTGCTTAAAGGTTGTCAATTTTCAAATGACTCATCACAACGTATATTCTAAATTGTTACATTTTACAGTAGTTTTCTAAATTGTTCTACAGTACCTACACAAACCACTAGATCACATGTGTCAAACTAAGGCCCGAGGGCCAAATCTGGCTTTTTATGTGGCCCTCTAGTCTCCAAATTACATCAATAAGTCCCTCTAAATCCTCAAAATTCATACAAAATCAATAGATCCCCACATTTTTTCTTATTTTACTGTAAATGTTTCTCAAAATTGGTCAAAAACATTGAGTTTGAGTGACTGCTGCCTCAGCCGTACTAAAATATAATATATTTAATAGTCCAGATATATGATGTTTGACATATCAAATATAATATATTTGAGCTATATATTAGCTCAAATATCATATAAATTCCTGACAAATATTCCTAAATTAGCATCACATTGCAAAAAACAAACAAAAAAAATACACACGCAC